TTTTCTCACTCGTGACTGACACTAGAACAATCGGATTTTAATATCAAAAATATTCTACACCTACCGATCGTTATAAATCTAAATGATTAATTAGTAATTGAAATTAATAGACTTGCACGACTGCGTTTCAGAAATCAATTTTACATCTCCTTTCGAGCGATTGTAAAATCGATCCATCATTTCGACAGGTTCGATTGCTCTAGCTCTTGATTTTCACAAAAATACTCGTATCTTTTAAGCAGTTAACAAAAAAAAAAAAAAAAAGAACATGTGAAATCCGTCGTATATTAAGCCGATCTCGTTGCTCTGGTGTTAATTTCGTGCACAATGCAATTGTCATAATTCGTATACGGATTATTTTCGACTTTCTGTTCGGAGGGTTCGGATAAAAAGCCTTTTACAAATTTATTATTAGCATCTGGTTGATGTTTACCGACCTTCCCCTATGTAGAAATACAATGCAATGCGATCGTGTGCGACGTTCTCATCGATTTAAAAAAAGAATGCCGTGCCAGGCGCGGTTTATTAATGGTTTGTCGTACGAAAAAAAAAAAAAAAAGAAAAAGGATTGCATTGATTGAAAATTTCGAGAAATCTCGATTGCGCTTTTCGTTGGTTTTCCTAAAATCATTTTAAACTGAATTGCGAAACTTCGAGATAATAACGCCGATCTTAGGCGAGTCCTCGCCCATTTGATCGACCTCGCAAAACAGAAGTCGGAAAAATTATTGAAATCGAGTACATTCTATTTTAAACTTCCTTTTAAAATAACATGAACCCCGAGTTAAGGTTAATTTAATATTCTTGAGTTATCGTTTGTAAAATAAATATGATAAATAGATCGTTCGTGAAGTAAGAAACACAAATAAAATAATGAAGAAAAGTGCTGAACGAACGTACGGTGTGCTGTCCGATACAAATTTAATAGGAAAACGAATTAGGAAGGAGATAAGATAAACTTTTAAAAAGGGGTGAACACACACAGTATTGGCCCATCCCTCGATGAAAAACTGTCGATACTTTAAATTATAACTTCCTGAAAAGAGACGCCGTACAGCAATTGCAGCTGGTCTCATTTTAAAGCCTCTGCGTCGAACACCTCTCTCAGTTCGTTCCTTTTTAAGTATGTTTCTACATCACGGATGTACCTTTGTCCTCGGAAATTGCAAAGAAATTCCAACGTCTCCAAACTGAGAACTCTGAGAAAATTTCTTTCCATTCGTTAAATCTTGAAGATTGAAATTTTCTCGCAATTTTCCATCTTGAGCTAGCGAGTGCTTTTCACACGTTTTGCGTAAATCTAGATCGCGTCTCGATCGCGTTTATCAGAAACTTCGATATCGCCTACTCTGCGTCGAGCTTCGTTACAATACGTTCGTATTCCCTAGCGAGAGATATTTATCACCGTGAAACGACAACCGGTATGTTTCATTATCGGTTTATTCGTCCATTGTGTGAACGGTGCCGAAAATGGGAACAAGCCGCAAAGTAACGACATCGGCAACTTGCATGCGATTTATAAGGCACGCCTTTCGAAACGTTGGAACACGTATACAACCCCCCAAGATAAAATTAGAACAAACCACGAACCTTTTTCCCGCTCGAGCGTACAGCTATAAAACGATCTAACAAGTCCCGGTTCAAAAACGGCCCCGCTATAATATATCTTCAAATCACTTTTCCTTGGATTTTTTTTTCTTTTCCTTTTTTCTTTAACAACTTCTTTAAATTAATGAACGATAACGTTTACACGTCTCGAAAGTGTAATATTTACGAACGAATAAATACGATCGCGTTCCATCCTGCACCGTCTCTCTTCATCTAAAAATAAGTGGTTACGTAAAATTAAGGGCGTGCCTGATGGTACATCGTCGTCGTGGAAATTACGTTTCGTAGGTGCCAATTGTTTTCTTGGCTGGCCGCTGATTCGAAATCCATCAGAGATAAATTCTGTTGATGAACCAATTTCACGACAACATTTGCCTATTCGAGCGACCATACGAATGACTATATGTCGCGTATCGGCCGA